GCTGAACATAATGTGAGTAAGTGAATACCCATCCCCCACAATCTAGCAAACCTTCCATTCTACTCAAGATTGCCTGAACAGAGCCAGGAGGAATGGCACATGCCTAGAATTCCAGCTACTCCAGAGACTGGTACAGAGGCAGAAGACCCACAAGAGTGAAGACAGCCTCTTCTAAATAGCAGACCCTATCTCAAACCATAAACACAAGAAAGGGTATGGATGCAAGTTGGTGGGAGATGACCGGCTTAGCATACACAAGATCCAGGACTCAGTGCCCAGTAAGAAAAAGGAGGGGGGTTCATTAACAGAAAACTAATACAGACACAGAGGGAAAGGATGGAATCAATTCACAAAGGAAATCTTGAATGGCAAATAGACGTTAAATCTTTCCATACACTATCAAAGTAGACTTTCTGGATTTCACATTAATTCATCTACACGTTAGTAATGCTTCTAGTACTAAGTTACACCATGAAAACTCACGTTTATAATGATGTGCTTAAGGAACTGGGAACAAAAAGACTTTATATTTTATAATTCTTCAGTGCAGAATAAAACCACACTGAGCCATATTTAATATAATAAACATATATTTGCCAACTGGTTTAGAGAATGCTTACAGTCAAGCTGTCACCAACTCAAGGAGAGGATTATTGAGTTTTAACCTTAAATATTAACAAATGACCACAGGCTAGATTCTCAATAACAAAAAAGGGCTAAGATCTGACTTCTCATTCAAGACAGCTTAGTTAGAAAACATTTTTATTTTAATTCTGAGAGTATGGTATAGGAAAGTCAGCCCAACATTCCTTGCAGACATCTGGCTGAGGCCTGCTCAGTGGAAAATTACTGTTCATGCTGAGCAAAAAAATAATACCATGCTTCAGTTGAAGTTTTCTGGGCTTAGTTCACAATGGCTTTTTGTATGCATGTTTATGTGGAAGAATTTTTTCATCATATGAAAACAGAAAAATTATTCCCTTGAGTTACAGTGATAGGTGACTGGAACATACTAATCAATCAAAAGAATAAAACTTTATTGAAAACTAAAAAATACTGTAATTTTTAAAAGTTGGCCTCTGGGCTACAAAATCACAGTTTTAAAATTACATGGAAACATAAGACCACACCAGGCTAGCCATCCCTTTCTGCAGCAGACTGTCCAGGATCTGGCTAAGCAATGCAGTGGCTTCCCAGCACCCTGGAATGGTCACCACCAGCTGATCAAGTCAGGAGGAAAACAGAAGACACACAGCTACTATATTTAATCTAGATTCTTAGATTTAGGGCAAAAAGTCCAAATTTACCAGGATTCAAAGTTGGTGTCATATATTCCAGACACATTAGGATATTCTTTATATTTACTTACCTTGTATTCTAATGGAAGTGTTTTAGATAGATGAGCAGCACAAGACATAATTCCCTATGAAAAACAGAGACTGTGTCTCACTCAGGGATGGGTGAATTTGAAAGTCACACTTAGAACTCTGAGTTAAGGTTTGTGCCTTAGAAAACATCTAAAAAAAATATGAAAAATGGAAGTTGCTGTAAGGTAGCTGGGCTGCTGATGTTAAATATTCTCAGACTTTGATTCTCTACACTTACAAAAATGTAAATGAATAATTTCAACCATTTTCTATGGAAAAAGCAACCCATTAGCATTGCTAGTTATAAATAGATGTCGTCGTCGGCAGGATGACTCAGAAGATCTGTTCTGCCATCACAGTATCTTAAGAAAGTTGACCTTTGCAGGTCCCCATTTCCCTCATCTGTAAAAATGAGGGAAGAAAAGTAAATGGTCTCAGATAATGTTCAGAGCTGTGATGCTTCAAAGTTCTGCCTACATTAAGTTTGCTATTTGAAGATAACAAACTATTATTCTTTGAGTGGTTTGCACCATTAGCAGAAGTGACTGAGAGAAAATGATCACCTTTCTGTTAAGCTTTATGTATTATTATTCCGTTTTACTTTTTTTTTTTTTTTTTTTTTTTTGGTTTTTCGAGATAGGGTTTCTCTGCGTAGCTTTGCGCCTTTCCTAGAGCTCACTTGGTAGCCCAGGCTAGCCTCGAACTCACAGAGATCCGCCTGGCTCTGCCTCCCGAGTGCTGGGATTAAAGGCGTGCGCCACCACCGCCCGGCCCCGGTTTTACTTTTTTATTATATACTCCTACCAGTATCTCAAGAAATTCCAAGACCTCAATATCCTAGAAATGTTGAGAACTTCCTTTAGTGACTTCTCTTGCCTCTCAGAGGGTACATGTCCCTTAAGAATCTGGCCACATGATCCCTTCATGGGGGACACCTGACAGACCAGGCTGGAGTTAGATCAGAGCTCTATCCGCTCCCACCACACATTGCCTCACAACCTGGTGATCCCAGTGCAGAGAGATGCATTAGGGAATATTTAGTACCACATTCACGCAGCCTCACAGAAGACCATGACTACATCATAAGAACAAAATTTTTTGTTAATAAACCATAAATCCTAGCATTGGCTAAATGTATCTGAATGTGTTTTGTAGCCTACATATGGCCATCATAAAAACCAGAGAAATGCTAACATAGACACCTATCTCAGTTCTATAATATTACATCATGTTTCACATTTTCCTATCAAACCCTGACTGTGCTGTGATGAAAGGAAATGTGCTTTACTTGTAGTGTAAAATGGGAGTAAGGAGAGCAAGAGTTCTAACGAAGTACAGCTATGACACATTTCAAGGCGTAAAGTATTTATCTTTAAATACAATATCAGACTCCTGCCTGATTACAAAAAGACTGACCTAAAACACATGAATAAGGTCTCAGTGAGGTCAAAGTCAGCATCTCGGTTACAATACTCACACCTCAATTATGCTTGTTGCTGCCTCTCAAAGGATGAAGACATGCCCCTGAAGGCAGATTTACAGGCTCTGCACAGCTACACCCAGTGTGTCAGAGATGCAGAAGGTACCTCTCAATACAACAGGTCAGCCGTACACTTCTGCTCTCCCAGCTGTCTTTGCGGTACCCAAGCAGCATTTCTATTAATTCCACTGACTTCTGGTTTACAGCAGTACGTGCTGTGGTGGACTGAATGCGAAATGTCCCCAGAGGCTCCTGTAGTGGGACCCTTAGTCCCCTGCTGATGGAGCTTCCTCCCCTCCCACTGCGCTCTGTAGATGGATCAACGGCATCAGCCAGTCATGACTTCCCTATTCGTGGACTCTATCACTTCACTGGCAACTAGAAGTCAAAATAAATTTTCTTCCTTGAGTGGCTTTTAACATCAACAGAAAGGCAATGAAAATGTCTACTTTATATGTTACAGTTACCATTTTGTGATGCTCTTATTTCTATTGATCATGAACTATTTTCAAAGGTAAGTACATATGACTCTCATTTTATTGTTTTTTCTTCATTATTAAAAATATATGTGTATGGGTGTTGTGCCTGCACGTATGTGCACAATGTTCATGCCTGGAGCTCAGGGGGCCAGAAGACGGTACAGAATTCCCTGGAGCTAGATTTGCAAATGGCTGTGAACACCATGTGTGTTCTGTGACTAGAACGCAGGTCCTGAGTGCTTTGTGAAAGACAAATACATTTTCTAGGGTCTCCGTTACGACACTGACTGTAATACTGATCAACTGCAAACTGTCCACCACAAGAGAATGACTCAGGCAATGCTGGGCTGGTACTGTAACACACGGCTTTCCTACAGAGACAACAGCCAGCCACATTTCAGAAAATAAGTCATTAAATCTCAAATAATGAACTTTAGAAAAAGACCAAAAGCATATTTATCACTATACCTTTTATAGAGCGTGTCAACAAAGATAATATCCATTAAAAGAAAAAAATGGTTGGTAACTAAAAACACATTATTTAGGAAAGTGATTACTTCCTGGAAAGTCTCCGAGATTACTTCATTTAGGGTGATGGACGTTGTGGACATCCAAGCCTATAATATTTTGTTTCTTTAAATATCAAAATATAATAGGTAAGTATACAAAAGAATGTTTAAAAGCAAAGATGACGAACACTGAGGGTCTGGAGCTGAGTTGCATGCACCTAAGCTATCGGCCCCATGCAGTCCTCTGTGTTCAGTGTCGATTACAATAAAAAGGTGTAAAAGTAAATCTTGGCGGAAATAATTTCTTAGTGACTTTGGGTCCATTTTCCCAGGTTTTGTTAACTTTCCTGCTGGGTCACTGTGTCCTCTTGAGGTCCTCTGCCTTTCAGTACACAATCCTTTACAGATCCAGCAACAACCCAGTGACTTCTCTGTCAGTTTGACCCTTACCGAAGACAGAGCTTTCTCCTAACAGAGACCTTCCGCTCTGGGTCAGCACACTGGTGAAGGCGGCCACTCTGCCCTCCTCTTCCTGGTGGGGCCTCCCCAGCATACCACATTCCCTAAGCCTTTGCCCTTTCTTTTTGCATCAAGGGCTGGCAGAGGGTGCCTCTGCCTTGTTTTCCAGCTCGGAGTTCCTGAGAGGAATCGTGCGGTCCCTTTGTCGTTCCTAAGCTGGTAATGTTCCTTTGGCCCCTGGTCCCTATCAGTTTTTCCACCTGGTTGTACCTCTCCTGGATTCGATCTCTTAATTTTTCTCATAGTTGACAGGACTGCCTAATCTGTGAACTTTCTACAATTACCAACTTGGGGAAATTTTTAGCTTTCTTTAATTTTTTTTTTTTCACTTTTACCTTTTTGGGGAACTGAATCACAGATTTTTTTCTTGTTGCTGACTGCCATGGTGGTGATCGACGATGGTTTGTTTGGTGACTTCTAAACTATTCTTTGTGGCAGGCTGGCACTCAGGCCCACCCAGTTCAGGTGGCTTCCTCTCAACTGACAAGTGGCTAACACTCAGACTCGCTAGAAGCTCAACTGTCCTCTAGTCCTTACAGCAGAGGAGCCCAGGCCAGGACACATTTTCACTATCCGGCACACTGGAGAGGGAAGGAGCTGCAGAAGCAGGAAGGCCCGACATTTCTTCCTTACCCCTTCCTTGAAGGACCAGGAAGCTAGCCCAAACCTAGGACGGGCACCTGTTCCTTCGAAAACTGCCAAGGGAGAGGTTTTGCCTCACACTGGAGGAAAGGAATGACACAAGAGGGTATGAAGCAGAGTCGAGAGAAGACGAGAAACTTCCCAGTGAGTTCTTCCAAGGTCAGTGACATCATGCCCTCTGTTCTACAAGGATTGTTTCCAATGACTGTCCATGCATGTGAAGACATAGTTTCTTTCTTTCCCCTCTCCCTCCTCTCCTCTCTTCTCTTCTCTTCTCTTCTCCTTCTCTTCTCTTTCCCTCCCCTCCCCTCCTCTCTCTCCATGGGTGTGCATGGGTGTGACATGGGGGTCTAAGTAGACTACACTGGCCTTAAACTCACAGCCCTCCTTCCTGCCTCAGCCTTCTAAATACTGAGACTAGACGCGTGTGGCATGCCAAGTCACTTGCTACTTCATTTCTGAAGGTCCTTGTATCAAGTAAAATCTGTGTTAGAAAAATGGGCATGCTTTCTCTTACTAACCTATCTTGTCTTCTTTAGCCATGAATTTTGCCATGGGTAAGAAAAAGGTTTAGTTTTTCACATACCTTATATGCCTTTTGGTGTTTGAAGTGTTTGTTTGCTTGCTTGCTTGCTTGCTTGTTTGTTTTGGTCTGGATTTTTTCTTTGGTTGTTGCTTTTTTTGTTTTGTATTTTTTTTTTACAGTGCTGCAGATTAAACCTAGGTCCTCACACTTGCCAAGCAAAAATTCTGCCAACAAGCTACATACAACTCTTGCCCCAGCCCTAGACTTCTGACATAGGTCGTGCAGTTTCACTTAGGGCTTGTGGGACCTCAGGGTCAGTCAGGGATGCCTTAGGACTTTCCTAGGTATTTCCTGAGAACTCACAGCCTGCAACAGCAAAGGACCTTCTCAATTCTCAGGAACATATCAGAACACCTCCAAACACCCTTAACATCACATTCCCTAGGCTTCCTTTTTCCTTTGGTTCACTAGTTTATGCCAGCACAAACTGCCCCAGCAGGTATGGTAAACTGTCTGTGGTATGACCTCCCCATGCCACCAAAACAATCTACACACAGGAGAAGAGCTCTGAGTTCCTAAATCACAACAGGTGAGGAGTGCAAGCTCCCAGAGAATAACAGACAGGTCCATTAAAAACTCTATGTAAATGGAGTTTCGAAGGAGACCATCACCAAATGGCCTCCACAGGGGCTGCTGCCTGGCTGTTTCTCACCAGGGATGTTGATTTCAGTATTAGCACTGAAGCACTGGAGAGGCTGGGTAGGGTTAGCACGGTAAATTAGAATTTCTCAGCTTTTGCTGCTCTCCTTCCAGCCTTGCCATTTTCCTGGAATAAATGCCTCCTAGTCGCTGCAAGTCCAGCTTCCGGCAGCAGTTCCTGGCCACTGGACCAGGGCTGCTTCCCTGGAGAAGCACGTCTTCAAAGGCACAGATTACACCATTCTTGATGACATCATTCCATGCAAACTGGGCCACCTGGGCCATCTCCAGACCACTAATGCACCTTGTAGGGTTGCTGGTTTTCCCTCTGTTTAATTTGTGCACAGATTCTATTCCTATGCTGGTCCTGGATACCCACCACCAGCTCACCTTGTACACAAATTGCTTTTCTTTTTAAATTAAATAATATCATGTGTATGGGTGCTTTGCCTGTTTATATGTCCGTGGACCACCGGCATTCTTGGTGCCCCAAGAGGGGAAAAGATCACCTAGAACTGGAGTTTCAGACAGTTGTGAGCCACCATGCAGGTGCTGGGAATAAAGCCCAGGTCCTCTGGAAGAGCTGTATGTGTTCCTAACTGCTGAACCAGCTCTCCAGCCCCACAAACTCCTTTTTCCCCCTGAAATGTTTATTTTGTGTAATTTTATTAAAAGTAGTAGGGAAACCGAACTAAACTTTTCACAACTTCTTTTCTTTCATATTAAGTTGCTAAATAAAAACATGCAACTAGATAGGGATTCTGGAAACAATAATATTTAAAAACTGAGGAATTTCCAGACAAGGCTCAGATGCTATTTCCCTTTGCAAGTGCTCTGGAAAGAGGCAGCCATGGACAGCCCTAGCCTCCCTCTCTTCCTAGCTCGTCACACTACATTAGAAATGCTTCTGTAGTTGCTAACAACAAAAAGACGGGGCTTGATCAATCATTCTCAAAATCCTAAAATCCCATGATTTTATGATTCTTTGTAAAAGACATCAAATACACTTGCAATTTACTACAAAGAGATATTGCTCACTAACTCTATCAGATGTGTGAAACTTCTCAAACCATTTCGAAATATGATTGCTTAGCTCTGTCCTTCATGCCTGTGTCGTTAGAGATGAAAACCAGGACGAGCAGCCCGGAGCCACACCCAGCCATGGTGGCATAGTTTTATGAGGATTTTACATGAGGGGATCATAGGAAAATGTTCAATAGAGCGGCAATGAAAACCCACCTTCAGTTTGACAGAAATCATAAATAATCGTCCATACCCTCTCTGTCCTCCTTGCTATTCTGTAAATAATTGTCTTCCATCCTTTTCTTTTACTGATTTATCATCACCCTGGTCATTTAAGAACTGCTTCCCTTGGTATTTGAAGTGTCAAGGTGGAAGCCATTGTTCACTTCTTGCTTTCTTTACTATGCTAGAGTTTACATAACGATTTCATAATACTCTGAAAAGAGGAACAATAGTTGACACCTCCAATTAAAAATGGGCAATAATGGAAAGGGGACAAAACGTATGACCTAATTAAATACCCCCAAAATTACACAGTATTCCTCGTCAGGATCCTAAACTTGTAATTTCATGTGGGTAAATGCTGACAAAACAGTTATAACAAAAACCACCATCTTAGTGTGAAGGAGACGGCTACACAGGTAAAGGTGCTTGCTGCCTAGCCTGAGAGCCTAGTTCAATCCCTGGGTCCCACAGGAAGGAGGAGGGAATCTGCTCCTTTAAGTTGTCCTCTGACCTCCACAGGCACACTGCGAATTACTTTTCTCTTCCTTATACTATTTCTGTGTTTTCACATTAAATGCATGCTTACATTTATAAATAAGTAAGTTAAACAAATAAATAAAATGTAGTAGCTCTGAGGCTAGCTAGATTGAACTCTAAGTCTCAGCTTAGCCCATCAAGTGGGCACCTTTGTCTGCTCCTTGCTCCTATGAAACAGAAAACCCTGACAGTTCATTTCCTCTCTTGAACCACTGGTGTTTAATAGCTGCCTGAATTTGCTTCAATTGAATGATTTCACAGGAAACCATCGGAAGGTCATGGTGGTCTATGTTTACTCAAGCAATTATTTCGACGTCCCTTTCTTAAGCTGTACCTCCATTCAACAATATTCCTTTCAAACATGATTAAGGCCCAAATCACATCCAATTGGCATAAAAAGTCCTTTCATAATATATAATGAAAGAAACCAGGCTTGCAAGGATTTAAGGTTGACACATAAAGTTTTTAGGCACTTAGAGTGGATTTCCAGACAAAACCAGGTACAATCTTTAGTTACTTCCTGGTTAATGAAGTGAACTAATTAAGCTAATAACCTGGAGAACTGTGACACAAAGACTCCTGTAAACTGGGCTGGGAACACTCCCCGCTCGAGTGTGTGCACGTGCATGTGTATTCTCTAGTGCACACTAGTGCACACTAGTGTATTCTCTATGCCCAGAGAGAAATGGGAATGTGAAGAGGTGAAGCACAGAAGCAAGGAGAAGCGGGAGGGAACAGAGCAGTAGCTCTGAGGAACTGGACACACTCTGGTGTATGCCTGCAGCAACCCCAGTGTGAGAGAAAAGGGTCCCAGCACCTCAGCTGAGGCCGGTTACCTTCTCCACCTCAGTCTTTGCTGTCTCTCAGCTGTTGTTTCAGTCTCTAAAGAAGGCATGTAAATAGGGGAAATGGTCCTTACACACAGACATGCCCAACAAGGAAAGACAGCAGCTACTCCAAATATACTTGTCAGCACAGAAGGACACAGCTCACTGGTGAGCACATAACTGCGAAATAATCAACAATCCACAGAATATTGTTCTCTACACATCCTAAGATCACTAGGCCACTGCTACCATTTCAGTGGTTCCTCGGTTTCTCCCTCCACCGCTCACGTGGGGAGGACAAGCCTGCTCTTTCCCTGACTACCTCTTCTGGACACACTGGCGTCATCCAGAACTTACTCCTGCTGTCTTTATTAACACTGTCATTTTTTTTCTAGAAGCTATCAGTATAAAATATAAAAGCCAACAGTACTGTTAGGTCTGGTGCGTAACAAAGAGAAAGCCCTCTACCCTACTTCCACACACTGCTGATCCTGCCCGCTTCCCTACTCTTAGCCACTCCGCCCGCCCGACACACTACTCTTCTCACATGGGGGACAGAATAAATATTGCTATACTGTAAAGCGGCACAACTACAACACAAAAGTTGTTCATTCTCAAGCCACTCCATGTGTGTAGGCACCTTTCCACTATGTACCTTTGTTAGCTCTAAAGTTAGGAACTGCCTTTACTTGTTGACTGGCTTTTCCCTGTACTTCCACTACTTCAGCTCCAGACACTCCAGAAGGATGACAAAGGCCACGGAGTCTTGGGTAACCTCCCCACCGCTCCGTCGGTGTCACCCGTGCTTGTTTGTGTGCCTCAGAAACCCTGCTGAAGGCTTTATGGTACTGTTGCAATCAGGGCTCCACGCTCTCCAGGCATCTGACCAAATATTTCCCCAGACTTCACTATCACTCTGGGAATTCCCTTCATGCTCTGCTGGATCTCACTTAGTGATATATCTTCCTTCTTCATTTATAAATTCCCTTCATTCTGTGGTGTACAATCCTGTCACTTTCTGAGGAGTAGACAAAAATAAGCTTTTAAAATACTGCACGTGTGAGAATATTTTTCTTCCACTCAGAGTTGACAAGACTGGTGTAGATTTCTAAGATGAAAATCGTTGTTCAGGGGTTTAAGACTGCTGTTATGCTTTTGAGTTTCTTTGTTATAACTGAGAAATTCAGTGACATCAGATTTACCAGCCAATGATGGGAATCTTTTTCCCTGGGTATCTCAGTTCTCTGGCTCTGATGCACTGGAACTCCACAAGGACATGCCTTGGTGAAGACTTCTTTCCCCGTTGAGTGTTCCCCACGTGCACCTCTCTCCTCCTAGACAAGCATCTTAGCATTGTTGGTATGGCTTTTTCTCTGTCTTCATCAACAGGATCCCACAGTAAGTTGTGTTATCTTTTGCCACCTGACTCTTCCCATTCCCAATCTACTCTCTGTGTCTTTGGGAGTTCCTCGGTGTCATGGTCACAGTCTTAGAGAATCCTCTGTTGTTCACTGTATATGCTAATATTTCTTTTTCCCTTTTCAATATCATTTTTGCAGAGAGATCCTATTCTTGCTTCATAAAATCAGTACTAAAAAACCTTTAAATACTTTTAAAGTTTCCTTCTCCTTTCGACATGGTCGGTACTCTATTGTCTACTCTTGTTTTTTAGTTTGTTTGTTGTTTGGTAGTTTTCAGACTTGGCTTTATATATTTAAGAAAATAACTTTGGTTCACATGGGGCACCATACTAAAACACAAGATAAGCATCCCTTACCACAAATGCTTGGGCCCACAAATGTTTCACATTTCAGATCTTGGTACATTTGCATAGACTTTACCTGTTGAACACTGTCATTCTAAAAAAAAAAAAAACCTCCCACATATCAGACTCCAGGTCATTTGGGGTTTGGATCTCCTACACCACATGGACTCAGGGTTTGGATTGTCTAGACTATGGGATTTCCACCTGTGTCATAGAATTGATAGCTGAAACAGAATTTTAATTCTTCCACATACCGGAGGCCTGATGGCCAAGACAAAGCGGGCCAATACTCAGTTTCTCTGGCTGGTAACTGGTCTTCTGCTGCCTCACTTCATGCTCTTCCCTTGTCCTATTTGTCCCTGCTGTCTCCACTGTGTTCAAATTTCCACTTCTTATAAGGGCACCGATTATATCAGATAAGATCAGATTAGACTAGAGCCCATCTAAATGGTTTCATTTCTAATTAAGCACCTACTCAACAACTTCTTTTCCAACTCAGTCTGGAGTTGTTATTGCTTAAGGATGCAGCATGCAAGTGTATAAGCTACAAGCAAACGCCATTCAGCACATAACAGCACATTTCTGCAACACTGCTGTAGTGTTGGACCCCTCCATAGGCCTTATTGTCACTTAAGTAGAAAAGGCACCCTGATGAGTCAGCAAGTACATCCACTATCTAGGAGAAGACTCCTTTCCCTTGGATTCCAAACTCAGCTCTCCAGTGCATTTAAAAAAAAAGTGTTTATCCCTGTTGTTCAAGTGAGAATTATACTCTATAGCTTTTCACGTATCACTCAAACCCAAGCTGTTTATCTAAATTAAATGACTCTGATGGGGGGGGCTGATTTGTTATTGTTGTTGTTGTTTTGCTTTGTTTTTTGTTTGAAAAGCAATAGCATATTGTCAACTTATCTAGTAATGGTCCAAATTACAATACATTCAACCTCATTTTTCTGGAGTATCAAAACCAGTGAACACTGACTGGAATATACCTAGTATTCCCTAAAACTGTTTCTTACAAATTCTATGTTTTCATGGCAAGCCCAGAACTTGGGAGAACTGTGGAAAGTTCAACACCATCCTGGGAGCTACCTGTAAGTTCCACACTAGTGTGGGCTACAAGATACAATTTTACTGCAAACAAAAATAATGCTTAAAATATTACTGGCTATTGTTACTAAGAAAAGGTATGTGTGTGTATGTATTTGTTTAAGAACTATTCAATTTGGAGAGAAAGGAAAATAAAAGTAGATTAAAAATCAAAACATGTGGACTCTAACTTCCACAATATAGTAGCAGATCAATTGTAACAAGTAGTTAATCTGTTACAATCTTGGTTTCTTTAACTGAAAATCAAATTGATAATGGAGTTCAAGTAACATGAAATTTTTTAAAAGGCAATATACAACATGCTTAATTTCATTACTTAAGAAAAATACTTTGAGTCCAAACACTAGCGAAATTGAAGTAGCAGGACCACAAACTCAAACCTATCGTGGATACAAAGAGAAGTTCAGGGCAGTCTAGACAACACAGGATGGTCCCTGTGAAAGAGGAAGGAAGAAAAGAATGAGGAGCGGGCTGGGGAGGGCTTCTCCCCACGAGGGTCACTGAAATGTGCTGAACTACATTAGGATTCTCATTAGCCCTCCAGACTCTGCGATTATCCAGGCAACTTCATGAGCTGTGCCATAACTTAAATATGTTAAATAAAGCTACTTATAGTCAGCTCCCATTTGTGGATTCCTTATTTATAATGCACCCACTTGATAAAATGAATTTGTATTCCAAAGTCAGTATGTGTAGCATTCTTGTGGTTATTTGACAGCACAGATTTGCCAAAGAACCTGAGTTGCCCAGGGAGAATGTTTCTCACTGAAATCAAGTAAGGTAAGTTTTTGAATTCTTGTTTCAGGTCTGGTGTGTGTGAGTACTCATTCTGCTTTTTAATTAATGCCGTGTTTTCACATTTGTGTTTTTCCGGTGTGTGATTTAAGATCCACAGTACTAAATGCTGTCCAGTGTTCCTAGTGAGTGAAGGCCGTGATGCTCATTACAGGAGAGACAATTTCCCAGCAGCTGTTGTACTCAGGCATGAGTCCATAGTGTTGACTAGGAGCTGGGTGTTGGTAAATAACAGATGTACTAAATAAAGTGCTTACAGAACCAAATGGCAAGAAACGAAGGTACACAACGATGCAAAGACCAAAGTGTTGTGACCTAAGTTCATCAACTCCAAAGCTGCTTTTCTTCTGCGAGCAGTGTTTCCACCATCCATGGCCCCAGCTTCAGAAGACAACTAAGACCAAAACACAAATACACTTGAACACATAAATGGAAAGAAATGCTCCTGGTGAGTGCATTCAGAGTTAATAATTTAAGAATCCTAGGTAGGTAGAACCAAGGAAAGTGGGTCACACACATCTTCTTGCTCCCTTGACCTGAACTCCCATTGGTGAGATCTGCCCCACATATAAGTTCAAGACAATAAATACTATATCATCCCTGTTATTAGAAGGAAAATAATTATGGTTTACGATAAAAATAGTATTTATCTCATTATGCACATATTTCAGACTCAACTGCAAAGCCCATAAATTGCCGAAAGTTTCCTGATAAAAACCATCCTTGTATTCACTTGGCTCTTTTTCCGTTTTAAGAAAGCTGTGAGTGTGGAGCACAGCTCAAGGCACTATTCCATGCAACATGCAGTTGTACCACACTGACCTTACCCGCGTGCACAGAGGGGTCTGTGGCAAGTGAGCAGATAAAGGTGAGAGGCACTTACTGAGTACGGCACGTATGTACAGCCATACAAGATTAGTGTCCGGGATGAAAGTGTCTTAAAATAAGTAATAAAATTGCCTTCTCTTTCAACAAATAATCTAGTAGTGATAGTTTTTCCTAGTCACTCCCAAAGCCTGCCAAGGCTACAACCTACAGCTACCCTGCCAAGAAACCTCATCAATGCTCTGCACACAACTGGCCACGACTCAAATCCACACTTTGGCTCTTTTTACATTAGACTTTCAGCTCTATTTCATCACAGCCACACTATTTGGCCAGGCAATTTGCAATGGAAATTTATTTTGACAATGTCTACAAGATGGCAACTGCAGCCCTGCAGTCCCCCATGCGATCGATCAGCCACCCGCAGACACTGCTGCTACTCCTGCTACTCCTTTCATACAAGGAGACATGGAGGCAGAAGTCCTCCGTGATAGCAGAGGTTGTTGTGCAATTTCCTTAAGCATTTAATGGCACGGTGAGGAGCCCGGGGGGGGGGGGGGGGTAAGGGAAATGTATCAAATGTATAACTTCGCTCTCGGCGGCAACAACTGTACCTACGAAAGGAAACAAATCCCTCCTCTCCAAACTGAGCGTCTACTTTTCAGTCACTTTCTCACTGAGCACAGGGGTGGGTGGTAAACCAGGACGGCTGGGTGTTGCTCTCATGCCCTGCCAAATTGTAACTGTTGCACGCTTTTCACAAAAGCAGGGTGAGGCTCTGAGTGTGGTGACACTGGTTTTTGAATCTGTACCACAATGAGCAGAATCACGGGTAGACAGCTCCGCTCACCCTGAAAGGTCACCTGATTCATTCCCTGGCTCCAAATGCTCTGTCAATGTGGAGGAGCTCCTCTTCCATCTTTACAAGCTACACAATTGCCCTTGTCAGAGGAAAATGAGAAGTGGAACAATTACCAAGTGAAGTAAGCTGAGGAATTTCTCCTCAATTAAAGTGCCTAAGCGGAGGTCTAATTAAAAAAGAAGCCGAGGCCCCAGTCGAACTGCTTTTAGTGGGAATCGGGGTTTGTCCAAGTCACTGAAGTATTTTAGAAAATCCTATACTAACTATCCTGAAGACCCTCTGCTGCTGTTCTTTAAATACACTGTGACAGGTCAATGAAGCTTTATTATATCTTAAATAGCACTGACTCTGTATCAGGTTGTTAAGGGACAGAACATAATGCCTTATTCATTATTGCATTCTGAATACAAAGTTCCAATTCTAAACATCTACACATCATTTCATTACATTAGTGGTAGTGTTCAAAACCACAGGACTAGGGACGCAGCTCAGGGGAATAGGGCTTGCCTGCATGAGTTAGGGGCTAAGGTCCACCCCCAGCACTGAAAAAAGGAACTTAAAACTACAGCTCTTAAAATATCAACTAAAAGCATTCTTCTTATTCATTTAACATTTTAAAGATGCCAGCTCAAGTGTGCATTTTTAACTTACCTATAGGTTTCTAGAAAACTTTCACATACTGGTAGTATTGAGTCCTAGTGTAAGTCTAGGAAGCAAGGAGGCATAAAATGTGCTGTGCGTGTGTGTGTGTGTGTGTGTGTGTGTGTGTATTTATATGTATGTATATATGTTTATGTGTATGTGTGTATTTATGTGTATATTATATGTGTGTATTTACTGTGTGTTATGTGTTATTTATGTATATGTGTTTGTGAATGTATGAGTGTGTTTATGTGTGTGTATGTATGTGTATGTGTACTTATATGTATGTATGTGTTTATGTGCATGTGTTCGTGTGTATTTATGTATATATTATATGTGTGTTTATTGTGTGTTATGTATTATTTATGTATATGTGTTTGTGTGTGTATGAGTGTATTAATGTGTGTGTACGTGTGTGTGTGCATACGCGCATGTGCTCTGGTCCTAGAACTTCCCTTATGATTCATATAACTTTTTTCAAATCCCGTTATCCTGGGATTCTACTGTAATGGTTTGAATATTGATTTCCATTTGAACTCTCTATCTTACCCAGTGTAACATCTAATACTGAGAAATGGATTTGTAAATTGACTAGTTAACTAATTTCATTTAGTCCAAGATACCTTCTTTACTTACAGCAAGCAGAGAGTCCAGCTTATGATAGGTAGATCTACAGAGGAACAAGACTGTTTTTCCTCTTTAGTTGAAGGGACAAGTTCCCACACAGGTTGTCCAATCTTAAGTGGTCAGCCCTGGACACATGTACATTCAAGCAATGCTAAACGGACTCAGAAGGTCACAGATACACATGTCTACACACATAACATAACTTTAAAGAGACCATGAATTTTAGAGGGACAGAGACACAGGAGACGCTAAAGGAATGATGAACAGGAATGATGTAGGTAGATGGAACCATCGATGTATGATGTTCTCAAAAAACATAAAGTCGCTAAAAATTAAAATCAACAGCAGTTCTTGCCATTATTTACAGCATTCACTGAGCTTCCTCATCTTACAAAAATCAGTGTCTCAATACAAACTTGAGAGGATATGTGTCCACATGGTCCCCATGAGTTTCTAATGTTCCTCTGAGTTACAGTCATTGTCCTACTGTGGTCACTGCAAGTTAATCAAACAAAGGTCATTCAAACAACTGTTCAATATAATTAATCTCTATTAGAATATAAGAATATATAATATATAATATATAATATAATATTCTTATATTCTATAAGAATATAAAAGGTATGGGGAAATGAATCAAGTGGGTTTTATAATGCAGAATGTTATTCTAAGTGACAAGCAGGTAGGCAAAAGGGCTAAAAGTAACTCTGAAGACAGCTCTTAACGTGAGGTCAGTAGAATTCTAAACAAAGAAGTCCAAAGGGTACTTCCTCAAGTCTGAGCGGTTGGACAAGTCATGTCTCACTTCCTTAATGCATCGAAATTCATCGACTAGTTCCTACTTTGGGGAAGTGCCTGAGTTTATGGATTAAATCCAAATCAAACCTTTCTGTCTTAACCAAAATTTCTAATAATGCAGTGGGATGTAGACTATCCACTTCTGCACCAGACAAGCAACCACCACCATTTCACCTCAGGTCACATGGACAGCAAGGTGGGCACCACCGAGTCAGGTCACAGACAGCAAGATGGGCACCACTGAGTCACAGTTTGGGATCCACCCCTGCTCAGGTACGGTGGACAGTTAACTTTGCTTTATTTTGTATGCTTCTGTCTTGTTTTGTTGGTTTTTTGTGTGTGTTTCATTTGGTTTTCTCCAGATTCAGTAAAGATTAACTTCACAGATTACAATTTGCAGCATATCCAAAGCAGCTGTGGCTAAGTGACATTATGTTCACAATTCCTCAGATTAGCTGAGCGGAAAACCCTGAACTTCTTAGGAACAAGTGGCAGAAAGAAACGAGAGAGTAAGAAGATGGAACAAGTGGACAGCACAAGAGCCAAACACACTCTTTAAGGAGACTGTGATGGAGTCAAAAAGGCCTGCTTTTTCCTGATAGTAAAGTCGTTAAACAATACATGTATTACAGCGTGAAGATCAGCATTCAACAGACTGTAAGGCAATACACAACATTACTAATGTCATCAATTCTTTACGGAATGTGAAGTGTTCTCAGGAATTTTGGTAGGGCTATACCTGATTGGTCTTGAAACTGCCCATCTGAATGGCATAAATAATGCCCAATTTCCATTTAGATTTGTCCTTTTTAAGATTCAATGCTGTGTGGTTTGGTTTTTCTCCCTTTGAAGTCTACTCCTAAAGCAAATACCTGCAGAAATACACTAGCTAAAGTACTGGTTCTAGAGAGGGGTGATCAGTTTTTCCTGAGGCGATTTGAAAGGACATGCAGTTGTAAATGCCATCAGTATGACTTCAGGCAGACTTGGGTGTCACCTAGCAACTTCTGGGAAGGTGGTAAAATAGTGTTCGAAATATGCATAAACTGAGACATGCAGCAAAATCAAATTGTAGAGGATGAATCATAGTAAGAAAAGCCTGTTATTTAGTAACACTATAAGCTCACCACAGTCATTACAAAAGCCACACTCACTAACCACAGACCACTAGAGCTCTGGGGTTTGAAGTAATCTGTACTATAAGGAGAGTATCTCTAGGCTGCTCTTAGTATCCCAGTATTATACAGAAATCATCCCTGAATGACTTAAACTACTGTGTTGACTTGTTACATAGAAGGGTGAAAAACCACATAAATTCTGTGGCTATAAACTTGTTCCTAGATAATGCAAAATTGCAAAGCAATTAACAAATTACTCAATTTCTGTCATTCCAATTTAATTACATAGATAAGAACCCCTTGGAGCATTGAAATTGAAGTTCTTTAGCTCAGAAATTTGGTAGTGAAGATGCCAAAGCAAAAAGTCACACTTTACAAAATATAAAATATACATTAATCTTAACACATATTAATGGGTAATTAATCTTGCTAAAATGAACAAGTGAGAGATATAATATATGAGTCACGCCTTTTGAAAGCGTTTACATTTTTACTATGAAAATATATTTACACACAGCAGTTAAATAGCAATCCACAGACAGTAAGCAACTCCATGAGTTGCTTTGTTTGATTCCTGCAATGATTCGAATATGTGGTATACTATCCTGGGATAGGGTAGGTCCTTACCAGGTGAAATACAGGATGAATGTAAAATGTGTTGGAAAATAAGAAAGGTCTTCAAGTGTGTGGAAACCCAACATGGGGTGTGTTGGGAAAGATAGGGACTTGAGTGGAGAAATACTCTGAAGTAAAGTGAGAAACAGGAGGAAAACTGGTCAATGATAAATCTAGGAGACACGATACAAAATGAACATGATATGATTTTAGAAATTCCTAAAAAGCTAGACCTAAAATTAGGATATGATCAAATAGTCGTGAGAGAATCATGAGGTTATGTAATGATTTACTGGAAAACTTTACTTCTAAGGAGATGAGCCTGCCCTTGAAAAGCCAGATGAAGAAGAGAAAATAAACATGTTGTGTGTCATCACAGTAATCTAGAAAAGCGGGTAAGGCAGGAGTGCTGGGTGCTAAGTGGCAGCAACAAAACTGAAATTAGAAATGTTTCAAAGGAAGAATTAACAGGGCTGAGAGCCTGCATGTCAGGAATGGGTGTGTGGAGTCGATGTAGAGCGTTTACCGTACTTCTTAGAAGAAACGGGCAAGTGGGAGTATAAAACTGTCTATCTGTGGACAGACACAGCAAATGCACAGTTAGACTTCTAATTTACTAAATGCCCTCGCTCCCTGTGAGTAGGCCTTGCCCAAGCAGCCACCTTGCACTTGTAGGATGGGGTAGGAAGTGTAGGTATTAACCCCACTGAATAGACTTGGACCTGAAGTTCAGCAAGGGATGGGCAATGGGTAAGATCTTAACCAAGGCACAGCCTCAGCCTCCTAGCCAAGGTCTGTTCCCCAAAAGCAACTTCTTGGTTCTGCTTTTCTTTCTGTTTTGAGACAGGCTGGCCTGGACCTCCAGATCTCCCTGGCCCTGCCTTCGGAGTGCTGGCATTACAAATGAGCACGGCCACGTCTGGTCCCCAAAATAGCTTCCGTCGTGTTTGACACCATGATCATGTGATATATTGGGAATGGCCATATAAGTGTCATTGACATTCAGAAAATATATCTGAACCCTATAAACCAGGCAGCATCTTAAGCTGCTCACTGCTCCCCAATCCTGTATCTCACTTTTTTTTTAATGTACACAAATGAGATTCCTCCAGGGCAACAGTTCAGGAGGACATACAGACTGACTCTTAGTTTAGGGTTAAGGTTCCACATTCCCTTTACTCTCAAGACTCCCCTTTGTAAAACCTGGCAAGCACACATTACCATCTCACTGATAAGAGCTTAGCTCATTTTCACCCTTCCCTTGGGTTTGGTTCTGTGATAATAAGAGCTTTATTCGCTCTTCTTTAAACAAATCTTTCCATCCATCTCAGCATAGAGGTCATGGCCATAGCAGCATTTTGGTGAACGCCCCTCCCCACCAGCTTCGCTCTTGCATCAAGACTCTTCTGGGGCTTGGTCGATGTTGAATTGGAAGAGAAGAGGCTGAAGGAAAGCGGACAACTCCCAGGCTTCTGCATGTCTCCAGAGTCGGAGTAATGAGAGCATGACACAGAGCAGGCACCGTGACAAGAGAAAGGAGTGGGGCCCGAGAGATACTGCAGATGCAGGCTTAATGGTACTTGGCAACGGAGAGGACACAGAAGGTGAGGGAGAGGAAAGCTGGAAACGGCCCCAAGTTTGCTCTCCTAAGTTCCCCTGGCTGGAGCTGATGCCAACAACTAAGTCTGGGAACCTGAGACATGCTGAGCTTTGGGGAGAAAGAGACCCTGACAGAACATTGCTTTTCACGTAGCCAGCAGGAAGAGGGAGACTGAATGACTCTGTGCTTTAAATTCTATGACATAAATACCAAAATATGTCCATATCCTAACTACTTCTCACACTCATAGCTCAAGAATCAAAAGAGTAAAGTTACCCAACACCATATAACACATTCAAAATATGAGCAAAAAACATGGACGTGAAATCTTATTACTAAAGTTTACTAAAGCACTGTCTAAACATTTCTGTGTAACTCTAAAAATGAGGAATCTGTCCTTGATCCAGACATTGCATTGGCTAAAGTATATTCAATAAGAAAGAAAGACTAATACATGAATTCCATTACTCCGTAGCGTCTTTCTATGCTTCACAAGATTGTTTCTAGATTTTAAGGACAGAAGATTTATACACTTGAATTACGATAATTAACAAATAAATTAAAACCATTAGCCAATCTCACATTGTTCTAATCTAGGAAAGAAACATAAGCTCATCATGCCCTATGCAAAAAGCAGGATAGAGCCAAACATGTCCTTTGATTAAAAAAAAATAGGAATCTATTCTATCAATTATTATCAAATTACATGTTCTGACAAGTATTTCCCAAAGAAATTTTTCTCTATACTGTTAACTCTGAAAATGTAAACCCTGGCACATGAAACAACTGAGCAAATTAAAACCTCCTTCTAGGTTCTATAAACTGATATTGATATAAAGTATCTCAATGCACAATTTTCAGAATCATTTAACAACAGTGTCTGTCTAGGAAAATAATCTTAGTTTTTACAAAATGCTATTATTTTGAGTCAGGCATAAATGTCTAAATATTAATCATTCATGAAGGACATAACTTCATTTTTTAAATTATTTTTATTTTATGTGCATTGGCATTTTGCCCACATGTATGTTTGTGTGAGGGTGTCAGATCCCCTGCAACTGGAGTTAAAGACAGTTGTGAGCTGCTATATGGGTACTGGGAATTGAACCCAGGTCCTCTGGAAGACTGATCTGTGCTCTTAAACACTGAGCTATCTCTCTAGCCCCCAGGATTATTTTTAATCTTTTTAAAAATCAACAGAGTTCAGATCAATCAGATGACACCGGCTGATATTATACTAAAACTATTCTGAGAAAGTGAAATGAAAATCCTTTGATGAAAACAGCTGATGAGAACCGCTCAAACAACTGGCCTCTAGAACTCTGTGACCCAAGTCACCATTTAGGGCTTCAGGGTAGATAATGCCTTGGCCACTGTGTGAGAACTAGCACTATAAACTTGGAGGAGCTCTCTATGAAGAACCTAGAAATACAGAAAGCAAATCTGATCAAAGCATTAGACATATCTAAAAATCTCAACTAAAGTCCGGTCATCAGTGAAAAAGCCAAGCCACAGAGCTATATTCAGCAAAGACTCAAATTTTCTTATAAACTATTATAGCCTTGAATGGGGCTGCATGTGTTCTGAATTCTGGAATCCTATAGCAAATGTCGGGACATTTGTTTTCAAAGTTAACAACTCCCACAGGTTCTACACTTGATGGTGGGCACGTTAGTGTCCACTGTCTGAGAGGGAGTCACAAAGACTAAAAGAGTTGCTATGAATCTGATAACCAGTTAAATGCATTTACACTTCATTGTATTTGGCTGCTTCTATGGACATCTGAAAAATGGAAGCACAAGTGTGAGTTATGTTTTATTAACTCACACTACAGCCAGCACTAGGACTTCCCTAACATTACCTACACTCACACTGGGTATGCAACCTGCAGATATTTTCTCCCCCAGGGGGTTCTCAGAAAGGCACAATGAGGAAAGCTTCCTGACTGGTCCTCACTCCTTACACACTGCTTCCTGATGTGAGGGACAGCCTGCTGGCTCCACACACCTGCTTCAAAGTCCTCTGTCGGCACCCCCCACCTATGAATCCGTACTTGGTAATGAAGGGCCTAAGGTTTTTGCTTTTTGTCTTGTTTTACTCTTTTTCTTCTATCTCTCCCCTCAGTCTGAGACTTCACCTTGCTCCAATTGCCACCGCCCCCAGTATGCGCTAAAAATCAATTGCATTTCCCTGTCCCAGAGAGATCCATGAACTGCCCCAGAGCACTCCTCCTTATCCATCCTCTCGGGATCTATGCATTGTAGCTTGCTTGTTGCTCACTTAACAGCTAGTACCCACTTATAAGTGAATACATACTATATTCATCTTTTCGAGTCTGGGTTTCCTAGCTCAGGATGATTTTTTTCTAGTTCCATCCATTTGCTTTCAAATTTCATGATGTCATTTTTTTAATAACTGAGTAATACTCCATTGTGTAACTGTACCACATTTCCTTTATCCATTCTTCAGTTAGGGGACAGTTTCCAGTTTCTGGATATTATGCATGAGGCTGTAAGGAACATGGTTGGGCAAGTGTCCTTGTGGTAAAATGAAGCATCTTTTGGGTATATGCCTAAGAGTATGGCTGGGTCTTAAGGTAGATTATTCCCAATTTTCTGAGGAACCACCATATTGATTTTCATAGTGGCTGTATACATTTGCAGTCCCACCAGCAATGGAGGAGTGTTCCCCTTGCTCCACAATCTCTCCAGCATGAGCTGTCACTTAGGTTATTGATCTTAGCCACTCTGATAGGTGTAAGATGTAATCTCAGAGTCACTTTTACTTGAATTTCTTTGGTGGTAATTTCCTTAAATGTTTCTCAGCCATTTGAGTTTCCTCTATTGAGAAATCTCTGTTTAGAACTGTACCTCATTTTTAACTGGATTATTTGATTTTTTGTTACCTAGTTTCTTGAGTTCTTTATATATTTTGGTTATTAGGCCTCTATCAGACATGAAGTTGGTAAAAATCTTTTCCCATTCGTAGGCTGCTTCTGTGTCAGATTGATGGTGATCTCTGACTTAGAGAAGCATCGCAGTTCATGAGGTCCCATTTACTAACTGTGGATGGTAGTACCTGTGCAGTGGTGTTCTGTTCAGAACGTCATCTCACCACACCTTTAATCCCAACACTCAGGAAGCAGAGGCAGGCAAATCTCTGTGAGTTCCAGGCCAGCCTGGTCTGTCACACAGAGAAAGCCTGTCTCAAAAAACCAAAATAAAATAAAATAAAAGTCATCTCCTGTGACAATGTATTCAAGACTGTTTCCGAGTTTCTCTCCTATCAGGTTCAGTGTACCTGGTTTTATGTTGAGGTCTTTATTCACACAGATTAAGTTTCTGGAAAGGTGATAAATATGGATCTATTTGCATGCAGATACATACAGATATCAAGTTTGACCAGCACCATTTGTTGAACATGTTACCTTTTATCCAGTGTGTATTTCTGGCTTCTTTATCAGAAATCCAGTGTCTATATATGTGTAGAATTATATCTGGGTCTTTAATTCAATTCCATTGGCTAATGTGTCTGTTTTTATGCCAATACTATGCTGTTTTTATTATTATAGCTCTGTAGAACAACTTGAAATCAGGAATGATGAGAACCCAGCACCTTACTGTTCAGGATTGTTTTACCTTTCCTGGGTTTTTTGTTTTTCCATATGAAGTTAAGAATTGTCCTTTCAAGGTGTGCAAAGACTAGTATTGGAATTTTGATAGATAATAGATAAATGATAAACTATGGAACATTGGACAATATTATATTATTCAGAGCTGAAAGAAAGGAAAAATCATGAAAAGACAGTAAGGAAATCCAAATGTATCTTACTAAGTAAAAACTCATACACTGCATGACTCCTTCTGTATGACACCCTGGAAAGGGCAAACCTGGAGATTGTAAAAAGATCACTGGGTGCTGGGGGCTAGGGTGGAAAGAGTGAGCGTGCAGGGCACAGAATCGAGGCGGGAGGGGGTGTCCCTGATTCCATTCTGTGAGATCCATGGGTTGCTGTGCTCCACTGCACTTTATCAAAACCTACAGAATGCATAACACTGAGAGAAACTCCACCACACATTGCTGACTTTGGATCTTAATGATGTGCTACTCAGAGGTTGACAGCAGGAGGAGGCTGAGTGGGAGACGCGGACATGTGGGCACTTCAACTAAGCACTGGGCTGTACTATGAACCTAAAACTGCGTTAAAAACAAGAAGGCTATTTTTAAGAAGAATGATCATTTTTCACCTATTTCCCAAATTAGTTATATACACTCTGGGAAGGAAAGGTGGACTCTTCCAAAGTAAATAAACTGGAATGAGACCATTAGATCTTAATTCCTGAAATTAAAAAAAGAGGTTAAATTCTGTGGGCTGGAAATGACTGTGTCTCTATTGTATCGCCCTCTGTGTTCTCCTATTCCCGTCTCTTCAGCCTGTTGAGGTTTGTAATGATATGCCTAGGCTGGAAAACAGACCACTGCAAACATCAGAATGTGTTTGGCTCAGAGTTCACAGATGGCTGCAGAGCATTATTTCCCTGAGATGGAGCAAGGACAGAGGACTTCACTGAGCCAGGTGGTTACAAACCCAAGGGATGGTTCTGGAATGTAGGCTTAAGAATAGAAGCAACAGTTGATTTTCATTAGACAACATGCAGGCCTTTATTGCTGGACTTAATCAAGGATGGTAGTTGTTATAAACAAGCAGTTGAAAACTGGCATCCAAAAGAAAGAAGTGAGAAGTTGGTAGCGCTGCTTTTTGGCCTTTTGACAAGATCTAGGGTAGTAGCAAATAAAAGCCAGCTGGTGTATCTGTAAACTGAAATCCAGGATGGGAAGAATCCTTTGGATCCAATTCAACTACTACCCATGTAGGTCTTGAGATTTTTCTCTCTCAAAAATCCCTTAGAAAACATGCACATTCAAAAGAACATATATACCACAGAAGAAAACAAGACGTACTTTGGGTGACATCCACGAGCCCATTAGAAAGTGACAGGAAACAGACAGCAGTCCAGAGCTCAGCCTTCGGGAGAGAACGCCACAGTCTCTTCAGCAGCTCTTACAGCAGCTCATCACCCTCTAGTTGGGAAACTACATTAACTTTTGTTGGATGCTCTGAATGAAACATATCCTCTCCACTTGATTTTGACCAGATAAAGCATAGCTAGTGTCAGTATTTTGTATGAGGTAACCATGTCTCCTATTTTATTAAGGTAAACTCTCACACTCTTTGCCTTCAGCCTCTGTACCATTTGCTCTGCTTTTGAATCTCTGCTGTTTACCCCATCCACTCAAATCCAGCTACCTCCTTTCAAGCCAAACTCATTCCTCTACCAAAAGTTTGCTCGAACTATATCAAAAACAGGCAATAGAACTGCTGATAATATTGCCTAATTTTATATATA